TTTTCTCACCTTTGTCTCCCTCAAGCACATCTCTTTATAGGGCGAAAGTATCCTTTGGCTTACCGACCTCTCGTTTCCATTCCTCCCCGCCCTTCAGTTGTTCGACTCCTTGTTTCTTCTTCTTTGATTTTTTGTTTCTTCTCCCATGTAATTGAAACCGAGTGTTATGTACCCAACATAAAATGAAGGTTTTCACCGTTAATTGAATCTAATAGCTCATAAAAGAGTTTTCACTTTGTGGAATTGGTAACTACCCATATCACAAAACAGTTCTACTAAAATTACATCCATCGCTCACAAATATACATAATGTCTTAAACAAGTGTTATAATGATCAAAGCTTATCACATATTAATATTATATGATTTTCATGAAGATGATTTTCCTTACAACCTATAATGTATTCGAGGAACAAGTTATACTATATATGGATCATTTTAAAATTAAAAAATTATGCAGTCCATCATCAAAAAGCCATCTATACATCATATGACATTTGAGTATTAGCATTAAAATTATTAAAAAAAAAATTTGTTATTGAATGTGAAATGCGATGGCTGATAATCTACAAAATTTCTAAGGAACCTATGATAAGTATCAAAGAAACACCCTTAACAAATAAGAGAAAATGCACCCTCCCATAAATAAAAGTTAACTACCTCTAATTGTAATAATCAAAACCATGCTTCTCAGGACCTGAATAAATAACACCAAGCAAGCATTAACTGGAAAACCTATATATTAATGAAGAGAAATCCTTATTTATATTATAATTGGGATATATAATTATAGTGATAACCTCATACGTGGTCTATTCTCATATTAACCTAATCAATTCAAGACAACACATTTATGTAAATTAAAATAAATAAAAAACACCCTTCTTTCCTTATTTAGTTGTAAAGTGGATAAATATCTCAATGGCATTTGTTCTAACAAAAGGAGCAGACTAATCGATGAAAAAATTATGATGAGGTCTAAAAAATCAAGAAAGTTGACTTGGTGGTGGCATGGTCATTCAATTTGTTATGGTCGTTTTTTTAGGTTTTTAAATGCTTTACAAAATTATTTGAGCTACCAAATTTTGCATAACACATGATAACTTCTCGTAACTTTTTTTCTCTTTCTATTTAATATGACCTTTTTTTGATATCACAGCCATTTAACATATGCTCTTCAAAATACCTTTCATGTCCAGGCAGACGGGATAACCTGACATGCTGAAATTGTGATGATGTTTTTCTTTTTCCAAAATTAGAGTTGGACATGCGACATGACTAGGACAAAGCTATAATTCTGATGTGATGATCGCGGTGCCAAGTGTATTTGTTTAATTAGTGATGCGTAACTGCTTTCATATTTTGTGCGATCATTTTGAAGACTAGTACTTTATATGTTGGCATCTTATGTGTACATTCTAATGTTTATTTTTATTAAATCATTGCTCATGGTTAATGCTAATGTTGATGTGCTATTAACAATTTAGTTTATTTGATAAATTATTAGAAGTATAATTATAATTAAACCAATGTCTTTTTTGTTGATCCTTAAGTTTTTTATATGATGCGGTTGATATTATATTTTGTGGTGTGATATTTTTTATAAAAATATTGATATTGGATGTTTTAATTATACCATTTGCAGTAATAAATCATAGAAGAAAAAATCTGTCGCCCCCTACCTTCTACAAGTTTGTAATGTTCTCATATCTGTGTTATGTTCGTGTCTTGTGTCAATGTCCATGTTCGTTCGTACTACCTCTACCTTCTCATACTTTCTTCATAACAGGCAGGTGGCTTTCTTGTTTCAGCACAAAATCATGCGGCTCCATCTGAGAGAGAGATGGATGAAAATGTGTATACTGCTGAAGAGGATGAGGGAATCCTATCTTTATTGGAACAGGTGCTATCAGTAACTCATTCATTAAAAATTGAAATTCAATTACTATTATATAAACTGAAAGTTCTTTTTGAAGGAAATTCAGCCTGAACTTTCTAAAAAATCTGGCTTGAGATTCATTAGTGGGATAATTTGTAAATCCAAAGCTTTAAGATTTGAGAGAATGCGAGCTACAAGGGGCAACATGTTTTTTCATCATGAACCGGCTGGGGAACCCGTCTTGGATCCAGTATCTGGTGAAATGGTCTGATGCTTCTTTCTTTAGTTGTTCTGCGAACTTTTATTCTGCTGTACTTTATTGTTTTGTCTATAACTTTTTATTCTAGAAAATATGCATGGATTTTTATTTAACATAATGGTTGTATGTTGTCTTGAAATGTTATAAAATGACAATTTTGGGGCGATATGCTTATTTCTATTTTGGTCAGCGTCCTGAAATTCTAAAATAGGCATAACTTTTGTCCAAATTTATCTTTAACTTTATTCGCTAATTTTTTTTAATGCAGGTAGAAAAGACTGTTTTTGTAGTATTCTTTTCAGGGGAGCAAGCAAAAGCCAAAATTCTTAAGATCTGTGATTCGTTTGAGGCAAATTGCTATCCTGTTCCAGAGGATATTAATAAACAAAGGCAAATTACAAGGGAGGTATGCTTCTCAAAACTGATCTGCATGCAAAATTATTTAATTTCTTATTGTGACGGGTTATATATCTGCAAGTCATTCTATTTTCTGTTTTTTTTTTTGTTTGTTTGGTTGAGTTTTGTACCTGCAAGAAAATTTTATGAAAAACTTGAATAATATCTGTCTAGCTCTTAGATTGAAGAAGTTGAGTTTTAGGAATGTTTTACTGCAGCTCGATCTTTAATTGATTGGATTTTGTATGCTGCTTGAATTTTTCTTTCTTGTTAAATATTGCTATCACATTGGTTTGTAATAGATTAATCTTTTTATAGAAAAGTCATGCTCCTCTAACTCTAGGAAAAGACACAAGTGAGACCATGAATGAAATGCAATATCTTGATGCAAATTGATTTAACCATATTTTCCCAAATGCTAAGCTAGATTCATTTAGATATGGGCCAAGGTTTTCTATAGGTTAAAGTGATACCGGAGTTAACCCAAACAACTACTCAAAGAACACAATTTTATTGCTGATTTTAAAGAAAGTACAACACGGACTCTTGGACGAGAAACAACACAAACATGTAGCCATAAAATAAGAAGCAACTACTCAAGAACAAATAAAAATAGTTACTAAAGAGGGCATAAACAGTCCTGGACATTGTCTGTGGCTAGCTGAGACTCCGCCGGAAGGTTCAGGGAAGTGCGGGTGGCGGCTAGGACGATATCAGAGCGAGCGTCAGTGCTGGAGTGGTGCTGGGGACAGGCTGCAGATACAACAACCTGCTGGAGTGGGCACCGGGAGGGGTGGCAACGGCTGTAGGGAAGGTTCGGAGGTGCGGGGACGAACAAGGAGGGCGCCGGAACGAAAGAAAGCAACTAGAAGCAGGTTGGGTGGAACATGGAAGTGCTGCGACTAACTGGGGAAGGCACAAAGAAGGCCGACAACATTCGGAGAGGAGCTGGGCAGGAAGGGAGGGACCCGTGGCCTGTTGGAGGGGGTGTAGGAATGGGTGATAGCGATGGTAGAGTGGGGTAATCACCACCTTAGGCGAAGTACAACCGAAGCACCTCTCGCCGTCGGCTATAGCCTTTCGAGAGGGAAAGCAGTCGTGGCAAACTTGAAACCATAAATCACACAAAGCTGATTAGACCTAGGAAAATAAAACATGCATAAATAGAAGGGGAAGAGGGATCAGTAAAGGCATATCCTAGGAAGGAAGGAGGTGAAAGAAGTGAAAGGGAGAAACGACTAGGAGCAGTCGGAAACTAGGGCACGTGAGAGAGGAATTGCGTGAATCGAGGACGGGATGCACGGGGGAGGGTCGAACGTGATGAGTGTGATAAATAAGAGGGGAAGAAGGGTCATTAATGGCAAAGATCCTAGGAAACATGGAGGTGCAAGAAATGGAAGGGAGAAACGACTA